GCCCCTTGCGCTTGCCAGGGAAGCGCTTATTCTACTGAGCCATCTCCCCAGCCCCTTGTTTTTTTAATTTTAAAGAGAGTAAAAAAATAATAAAAACTATAATAATTTTAAAACATGATGGTAGGAAATTAATGATGATGATTATATTGCATATTGTTAGCTTCAAAGTGGTTAGCAGATTACAAGATATAGGCATGCAAAATGGCTAACTGTTCCTTGTAGTGAACTAATAGAAATTAGTAGTACAGTTATCTTAGCTGTCTTGTATGCATACATGTTTTTTTTCCCTTCCTCTTCTCTTTTCCCCACCCCAGTTATTCTCTGCCTTTGAGCAGTTCCCCCGCTTTCACTATTTATCATCTTCTTACTGCCTCATTATACCCCCCTTCTAAATAACCACAAATCTGCTTTCTACCTTCATAAATGTCCCTATTTTAAATATTTCACGTTGTAGAATCAAATAATGCGTAGTATTTTGACTGCCTTCCACTTAGAAAAATGTCTTCAAGGCTCATCCATGTTGTAACATGTAAGAGTACTTCTTTCCTTTTTTTATGGCCTAATAATTCTTTGTGTAAGTTAATGTTTTGCTCATCTATTCAACTTATGGCTGTTACGAAAAATGTCACTACACACATTTGTGTACAAGTTTTACAGAGTCATATCTATTTTTCTGGGATACATAGGGGTGAAATTCCATTTTTGGGGTGAAATTCTTGAATCATGTTTTTTTTTTTTTTTTAAATGATTTTCCAAAGTGATTATGCTATTCTATGTTTTATCCAAAGTACATAAGAATTCAGTTTTCCCATATCTCACTAACATCTGGTATTCCCTTCTTTTCTTTTTTTTTTTTTTTTTTTTGGTGGAACCAGGGATTGAACTCAGACCCTTGCACTTGACAGGGAAGTGCTTATTCTACTGAGCCATCTCCCCAGCCCTAACCCTTATTTTCTGATATTAGCCATTCTAGTGGGTGTAAAATGGTTTTTATTGTGTGACTTTGGCATGCGTTTCCCCAGTAGCTAATGATATTGATCGTGTCTTTATGTAGTTAATGGCCTTTTTTATATTTCTGTGTGAGAAAGATTATTTAGATTCTATGTCAAACTTTTTGAGTATGTGTGTGGTCTTTTTGAGACAGGGTCTCACTGTGCAACTCAGGCTGGCCTTGAGCTCACTTTTTAGCCCAGGCTGGTTCCAGCTTGAAAAGATCTTCCTGCCTTATCCTCCAGGGTGCTGGGATTACAAGTGTGCACCACCACACCCAGCTCTTTGTCAAAAAGTTAACTGTCTTATGACGTATTATTTGTAATTATTTTCTCCCGGTCTGTCGTCTTTTCATTTTTTGATGATGTCTTCTGAAGTACAAAATTTTGATGCTGTGTGATGTTTTGCATTTTCTCATTACTTATTCTCTGGTATCAATTATGTGCCAAATCCAATGTTAT